GGAAGAACCATCAAGCCAAAACATAGCCAATAGAATTAAAAACACTTATAATCTTTTCTCAATAATAACCTTAAACATGAATTTAGCTCACAAAAATAGATGCAGAGCAGCTGACTGAATTAGAAATCAAAGTTAAACTAGTTTTATCTTTAAAAGACACCTTTTTGTCAAGGACTGCCACACACCAGATGTCAATCCAGTAAGCAAACAAAAACAAAATGTCATAGTTCTTCTGATACCTGATAAAACTAGACACACACCAAAAATAGAAGAGATAAAGATGGCCACAAAATAATAATAAGTGGAATACTTCATATTATGTAATGATTATAAAACATGCACAACAAAAATTGGGTCTCCCAAATTTATAAAGCAAACACAATGGACATAAGAGGTCACATGGATCCTGGTATAATATTAGTGGGTGGCATTAATACTCCCTCCCCATATTTCTTCTTAAAATGTTCATTATTGTTATTGTGTATATGTGTGCATGATGGGTGTGGGTGAAACTGTCCCTTGGTACATTTGGAGTCCACTGACCACTTGTGAAGCAAGCTCTTCCACTTTACCGGGGTTCTATTGATCAAACTCAAGTTTCCAGGTTTATGTGGCAAACACCTTTACCTTCTGGGTGGTCTCAATCTCCCTCACCTTAGATAGGTCACATGGCCTATTAAAAAATTAGAACTTCAATTGAAGTATAACTTTGTCTAGTGGATTCCACCAGTATCCTCAGAATATTCCATCCAAAAGCTGTGGAGTACACACTCTCAGCAGGCCATGGACCAGGCATGGAAGTCAGTTATACTTGTAGGCTCGTCTTTCCATTGATTAGTCTAGGATTAAACCACACTGGACAGTGTCTATCAGAGCTGTCTTCACCTTAGCAGATTCTCTTCGGTGTGTACCAGAGTGGAATTAATGCTAGCCAGCCTTAGCATTGTAGCCTGTCCTAGCTTTGCAGACGCTCCTACCTTCCCGAGACTCCTCAGACTGTATACTCTGCATAACTGATACTCTAGCTGAGGAGTATCCACTAAATGTACTAGGGGAAGCAACAATACTGTAAAGGTAGAGGAAGCATTAGACATTTGAAATCACCCACGTATTAACCACCCTGTTGGAGAAACATACATGTGCATGTTAAATTTCCCACTGGATTTTTGTAATTTTCAGATGCTGTAACAGTGAGTGTTAGATGGTGGTGGCTCTAGAAGTTGACTCACTTTCTCACACCAGACTCAAAGCTATCAAACTCCATGATTACTCTCAGTTGATGATGTCTATTTGTGATCACCAAGTTGGAGCTGCCCTTCCCCACACACTTCACTTCCTGAGCTGAACTCCCTGCCACCTTCATCTGTCTGGTTTGTTATTGTCCAGCATGGCTACTCTCTACAGCTGTCACCCTCGTACTGGAGATAGTTAAGTTGGGCTTCCAAGATTTGTAATTATTCCCATCTGTAGGCCCCCGGTGTTAACTCAGTTTCCGACAATGGGTTCCTTCCAGAGATGGTACCATCTGTGACAGAGTGACAAAATGGGATTCCTCTCCAGTGCTGACCCATTTGCTAAAGACATCACCCTCTGGCCAAAACTCGCCGCAACTGGATTTGAGCTTTGTTGGGGGTGTGAGCTTGTCCAAAGCAAATCTCTTTTCTCCAGGGCTGTCTCTGTTACCTTCTGAATGAGGACTCATTTCCTGTCCTGCCACATAAATGGAAATGTACTGTGCTTGACTTACTTCTATTCACTGTATCTCCATTTTCTTTCTCTGTACTTTTCAGAAGTCCTGATCTTTGTACATTCCAACCATCTTTCTTTCCCTCTTCAGAATAGAATCTGATTTTTTTTTTCTTTGCTCATTCTTCCTCTTCACCAAGTCAGACAAGGCAATTTCTAGGTTACCATCTTATTCAAAATTCCAAATCTTAAAATCTTAGACTGCCACGGGTGACATTGTAGAAATCCTGTATCCAAAGGGTTTGGGACAAATTTTCCAGGCTGAATTGGTTTTTTTTGTTTGTTTGTTTGTTCTGTTTTTGTTGTTTAATATTTACATATACGTGTGTGTGTGTGTGTGTGTGTGTGTGTGTATATATATATATATATACATACATACATACATACATATATATATATATGATAATTTGAGTGCAGGACCCAAGTCTATTTGTGAAGTCTATGTCTGTTTTATGTATACCCTATATACATAGCCTGAAGATATAGTAACATTTTCAGTGCACATGAGCCTGTCACAGGAGGTGAAGTGTCATACATGATACTTTACTTTCCTGTTGACAATGAAAGTTAGGGGATGCTTTTACTATTAGACATGCTTGCCCTATATTAAAAATCATCTCTTGAAAATGGTAAATCCATAGCTGTCTTCACTATGGATTCTGATAAATTTTAATTTGTAAAAAGTGAGTGTCTTCTTTGTCCTTTGTGTTCACTGGGGAGGTATTTTGCCAATATGCCCGAGGAAGGAAGACATGGCTCTGTTGCTGAATGTTCTTTGTCCCACCAGGTCCCACCACCCTTCTCAGCCCCAAATGGACACACAGATGCTATCTTAATTATTGAACTGTTGGCCAATGGCTAGGGCTTCTTACTGGCTAACTCTGTCTTAATTATTGACACATAACTACTAATCTATGTATTTCTACATGGTCTTATATTACCAGAGAATGCCTGAAATAACCTATCTTCATGGTGGCATCTATGTGGTGGGATTCCTCTGCCTATCTTTCCCAGAATTCTCCTTGTCTCCTATTCTGGTAGCCCCGCCTACCCTTCCTGCCTGGCCACTAGCCAAACAGTATTTTATTCATTAACCAATAAGAGAAAAATATATACAGAAGGGCAAACCCATCATGGCTCTCTCTTCAGGGTCTGAAGTATGGTCAGAGGTTTAGTGGGAGAGAGGTGAAAGCACACATGTGATGCTGTGCATACAGCCAAAAGTGGACTTCACAGCACCAAGTCCTCACACTATAGCTAGCTTGCTATGCTACAGTAATTTACTTTCCTCGTCCGTGTTAGTTTATTATGACTGTCATAATAACCACAAGTGTGTTGGTCTAAGCAACAGAAATTTCTTCTCCCTCATTTCCAGCATCAGAAATCGGAAATGAGTTTCCTTGCACTGAATTTGTGGTGCTGGCAGTGCTGTGCACAATCTGACTTTGGAGCTGAGGTCTTTGTTTCCTCATTCTCCTGCAGGGAACCACAGCATTTCTTGGCTGTGGCTTGCATCACTCCAATGTCTACCTATATGGGCACACTGACTTCTTTTTCTCTGACTATCTCCTCTCCATTCACCTAACTCTTATGTTACATGTGATTTCACCCAAGAAGGGTGTACACATACTGTAATCTCTCACCACTCTGGAAGTGCTGGTAGCAGGATCAGGAGTTTAAGGCCATTCTTCCATGTACAGCAAGTTTCAGACACCCACAGTTAAGCACTGAGCCTAACTCCTGGAGTCCAGTTGCAGGCAAGGAGGCGTGAACAACAGAAACAGCTGACCTGAAGAAGGGGTCATGGACCTCAGACTCATAGTTAGGAAACTAGCATAGGACCAAACAAGGCCCCCTTAATGTGATGTTAGCTAGGAGGCCTGAGCAGTCTATGGGGCCTCTGGTCGTGCAACAGTACTTACCTCTAGTGCAGGAATGGACTTTGGGAACCCATCCCCTATGGAGGGATACTTCCTTAGCCTAGATACACTGGGGAGGGCCTAGGCCCTGCTCCAAATGATATGGCAGACTTTGATGATCCCCCATGGAAGGCCATACCCTCCCTGGGAAGCAGAAAGGGAAGGGGATGGGGGCAGTCTGTGAGGGGCATGGGAAGAGGGGAGGGAGAGGGAATGGGATTGATATGTAAAACAAGATTGTTTCTAATTTAAATTAAAAAGAGAGAAACAAGAGTCAGACTCACAGATAAGAAAGGAGGGAGGGAAAGAGAGATAGAGGGAGGGAGGGAGGGAGGGAGGGAGGGAGGGAGGGAGGGAGGGAAAACTTTACTGGTGACCTCCCAGATATTTCAGTATAACAACCTGACTTCTGATTCTTAACTAAATCATGACTGAAAAGGTTTTGTTTCATTTTCTTAACTGATATATAAGATAAAATTAGCAGATTCCAGAAACTTCACATACATTTTATAGGGAATAATTATTCACAGAATTATAAATTGTTGATAATAATATATACATGGACTTTCATATGATTTCATATGCATATATTCTACCAAACAATAATTGAAAATAGTGAAGACAAAACCTACAGAACAAGTGTAAACAATTTTCTCATTATTTCCTCAACCGCTTACATGGAATTTACCTTTTATTAGGCATTATATTATAAAATACAGAGATGAATTGAATTTAGATAAAATAACTATAGTTTATATGTAAACATTGTACTATTATGAGTTTACATACATTTAGTATCTGTAGAGAATTCTGAACAAATTCCCTACGAGATTCCCTCAAAGAAAGCTACAATGTATGAAATTCTCATACAACACCATCTAATGTGCAATGAAACACTCAGTAAATATGAATTTAGGATGATGAAGTCAATGATATCACAGCAGAAAATGTACCCAAAAAATCTGTGAAAGCAAACTACCCTCTCCTGGATTTTTGATGTGTGCAAACCTTACAAAGCTAATGTTATCCAAAGGACTATATCTCTACATGAAATGATAAAAACTCAGTAGTGTATGTATGTAATATGCACAGTCACTTTTGGCTTTGGATTTTCTTCTCTTCATTTGAAACCAAAGTGCTTTCAGCGCTCCCACATATACTGAACTCTTTCCAATGTCCAAGCAAGAAGAATGAGGTAATGAGATTGTCTCTTTTGTTCTCTATGATGTAATGAGATTGTCTCTTTTGTTCTCTATGATGTAATGAGATTGTCTCTTTTGTTCTCTAGGATGTAATGAGATTGTCTCTTTTGTTCTCTTGTCTACTGCCCTGTAGGACACAGATCTGATGACATTCAACATCTCTGTACATCGGTCATGGTGGAGGGAACATGGACCTGGTTGTGTCCGGAGAGTGCTTCCCCCATCAGCCCATGGCATGATGGATGACTACACATATGTCTCAGTCACGGGCTGTGTTGTCGATTTCCAGTACCTAGAGGTCATCCACAGTGCTGTACAAATACTGCTATCTGTAAGTATCAATTTGTATTTTCTTATATGACATAGAGTCTTCTTTGTTGATATCTAGTATCAGCAACCTGGTAGATAGTGCCTCATATAAGCGCACAAAAACATTAACACCAGAAACAGCAGCACTCGTGGAGTCATTAATGATGCGTAACAGCTGGCTGTCTCATTTTTCTTCACATTCAGACATTTTGTTTAGAGCCAAGTATTTACTATGATTTCTAACTTGAGACCCATGCAGTGAAATAGCATCATCACCACCCAAAGTAATCCATTACCCACTAGGCACTGCAAACTATGCTGCTAATGCATTCTTCAAATAGTGTGTTCCAGTTCCCAAAGAAGGATGGAAAGACTTCCAATGGCTTGCTGACCACTGTGTGCCCCATGTTTCAAATCATTATTGCTTAAGAAATAAGTCCCACCAGCAACACTTAACATTTGGTGTCACAGAGGAATTGGCTTGATTATAGCACAAAAAGTATTATGTACCTGGAATTCTGTAAGGTAATTTCTTTCCATGAGACATTCTGACTATTGTGTGGAGTGGAATTATTTAAAATGCATAACATCAAGAACAATGTACAGTGATTTGTTTTCTTTTTGAGATGAGATTTCACTATGTAGCTCTGGCTGGAGTGCAACTCTCCATGTTAGATCAGACTTGTCTTGTGCTTACAGACCCACCTGCCTCTACCTCCCAAGTACTGTAATTAAAGGGGTGTGTCACCATGCCCAGATAAATACAATGTATCTTTGAGACCCATTCAGGACTTAATATTTTAGTAAGAGACAAAGTATAATATAACTGTGGTCAACTTTATTTTACACAGACAATACCCACTATTTGACACAACAAAAGACACTGTCAGGGAACCTCCTTTTAAAGGTCCATCAAGGATTTAGCTTCCTCTAAGTTTTTACAATTTTTCTCTACAAGTATCATTTCCTACACAATTGTATCAATCTTTACTTTTTTCTCCCTCTTGTCCTTCTTTAATCTAGAAGTTTCAAATAAAACCAATAAAACACATGTGACTAAATCTTTGCTTTAAAAATCTGGAAACTAGCATTCTCTTGAGATTCTTCAGCATGGTTTAAGTTATAAAAGAACTAACAATTTAAAATAGAATCCAGTTACAGAGAGGGAGAAGTGATGAGCAAAGGGATCAAGATCAGGCTGGAGAAACCCACAGAATCAGCTGACCTAAACAAAGGGGAGCTCTTGGGTCCCAGTCTGATAGCTGGGAACCAGCATAGGACCAACCCAGACCTCCTGACATGGGTGATAGTTAGGACTGGGCAGTCTTAGGGACTCTAGTAATAGATCAGTATTTATTCCTAGTATAGAATGTACTTTGGGAGCCCATTCCACATAGAGGGATACTTTCTCAGCCTAGACACATGGGGGGAAGGCCTAGGTCCTGCCCCAAATGATATGACAGATTTTGAAGACTTCCGGAAGAAGGCAGAGAGGGGAGCAGAGAGGGGATGGGGTGGGGGTTGGTGAGGGGGACAAGGGAGGATGGGAGAGTGAGGGAACTGGGATTGACATGTATGACATGTAAAACAACCTTGTTTCAAATTTAAAGAAAAAAAATCATTTAACTAACTATTCTGAGGTTTCATGTTAATGTTTTAAGCCAAAACATTTTTCTAGACTTATATATGGAAAAATAAATCCATTTAAAATGTTCATAATAAATTGCTAAACCATTTTGTGAAATGATAACACATTTTCCAAAGCTTTACAATGCAACAGAATGTGGGAACCAAAAAACCATTTCCCCAGAGTAACTCCAACCTAAATGCAGAGCAAGGTAAGAGCATTTGATAAGAAGCAGGGATGGCTCATAAAGCATACCTAAAAGGAAAAACTAAATAAGCCACATATGTTGCCACCTAAATGTATTTATCAATAGTAAATGAATTTCTTAATAAAGGCTGCCACCGTACATTCATAGTTCTGATAGTGTTATTCGGCCGTTAGGAAATTAACAGATTAGCCATTGCTCTCTGAGGTTTCTTGTGTAATACATTTGCAAGATGAAATATCTTTTTACATTGAAATATAATGCACTCTGATTCTTTTTCACAACTATAGGATTATAGTAGACCCTTCCCATAAACAGGGACTACTTGAAGACATCTAGAAAATTCCTGATTACTACAACATACTGACAGCCTGTCATTCACAGATATTCCTGGATGTGCCTACCTATGGATACAATTTAATTAGGCTCAGTATAAGATTAACAGCAATAATTTGCATTAGATCTTAGCAACCCCAGCATGTTTTGTTGTTGTTGTTGTTTTGTTTTTGTCTTTTTGTTTTTTGGTTTTTTTTTTTTTCTCTTTTGCTTGCTTTAAGTCAAGAACCTACAACTTTCACTTATAGGAAGTATTTTATGTCTTTTCTGGTTTCTCTGAGTTTTCAAAACCAATGAGAACAAACTGCCATAGAATGGCTACCAATCCAATACCTCAGACAGAGTGTAGTGAACAGAGCAAGGATACACTGGAGGGAGGGTTAATTCATATCCAAGGATGGTTGAAGGGGAACAGTGAGGTTTCATCACAACAATACTGAAAACTAGGCGCTGTTTAAAATATTCAGATTGTCAGTTTCTAGAACATTCTGCTTAGTAGTTTTAAATAGAAATTGGCTGAAGGTAACCACAACTATAGATAAAATGAACCTAATTTTGTACATTATATATTATTGTTGAGGTTAATTGTTTCATGGTGGAGTATGGGCACTATTATAATAATGTCTTAAATTGTGATCATACAAAATTGTCACTGTATCCTATATTTATTGACTTCTTTGTGCTGATTGGCTAAAATGATGGTGGCAATATTTAACACTCTATCAGGGTTGGGCTGATAGCAGTCAAAAGAAAGAGAAAGCTCTTTGATAGAACACAGAGTTCTGGAGACTCAGCTATACTGGGGATTACATTCCTAACTACTGGATAGATTAAAAACATCTAAATGAACCTAGGAAATGAATATTGTCATAGATTATGTAGATGTTTGGGAGAGGGCATCCAAGGATTTCAGGGCAGCCATTCTCCACTAAATTAGAGGAAAATATTTGAATGATCTGCCAATGGATATAACTCTGCTGGTAAATTGAACAACTCTGCATTTAAATTATTGCTTAGAAGGGAAGAAAGGAGTACCTAATCAAAGCTTTCACAAAACTACAAAAATTTGATAGAAATGACAAAACTGAGATCTAGCTAAGATGATCATAGGCCAGATTCTAAACATATACACACAATCAAAATCACACATGCACATACACACACACACACACACACACACACGCCTGCACACACACGTGCGCACACGCACACATGCACATGCGCACACACACACACACACACACACTGCAATATACATGCACTCCTTTCTTAGAAGCAGGAGTTGAATAGTACAAGGCTGAGCAAAGGTTCTTCTTGCCCTCATTCAGTAGGGCTACTATAAATTGTCAGCAATATGGAGCTGAAGATCTTTTCAAGGCAATGTGCCAAGATGACAAACCAAAATCTGTGGCTGTGGTCCAGCTGTAGGATGATCTCCATTCCTCCCCACAAACCTGGCTGTCAAGTCCTCACTTTTGTGTTCACTTCCCCTGTCAGGAATGCCAAAGTAATCTTGTAGAGCCAGATTCTGCCCCACCTGCCACCCAGGACCCTTCTCCTAGGAAGATTATTACAAACCGCTAATCTAATCACTCTGTTCTTTCTCCTGGGAGCCTGGAAAGATGTTGAAAACTCACAATGTCTAACTCTCTTTGGAACTAATTTTACATATATTGTCTTGAGTACTTGGGCACTCAAGATATTTCCTGTTGGGTCTTACTTATGGTGACTCTCATTACTTCACATCTTAGAAGTCAGTCTTCATGGTTGGAGCTGTGGTCAGAGCTCTGAGAATCAGGTTTTTTGTTTTCTTTTTTTGTTTGTTTGTTTTTTTATCATCCCCATATTCTCTGAAATATTATTCTCTTGCACATTTTCATCTGTCCTTGTTCTCAAACACATATATCACATGCATTCAGCCTAAATATACATTAAAGCTGCATATAGATGGGTGTAAAATAGCCTTAGACTACCCGTACAATCTTTGTCTTCAAAAGGCTATAGAGATAGCATCTCCTGCCTTGATTTCACAGCAACAGTCACAATAGCACTAAAGCTAATTCAGTACTGTATGCTCATGCAGTACGAAAGCAAGTGAAACCCAAAATTTTTAATTAAGCTCCTATTGGTTTTATACCATCAAAAAGGTAACCATAGTTAAAATGTGCCTCTTTCTCTCTCCCCCCTCTCCCTCTTCTCCTTCCCCTCTCTCCCTTGCATTTGCTTGACACTGCACTTAATGTTCTACAAGTATGAACTCAGTCATCAAAATAGTCCATTGTGTACGTGTCATTACAGTCATTACACTCAAGAAAATGAGACTTACAGAAAGGTAAATGAATGCGAACCTCAGACCAAGATAGATGACTCTAGACTTCATTGTAACACAAAAATTAAAAGACCCAGTGATGACATTGGGGTTAAAACTTCAAGCTGAATATCAGAAAAGCAAAGCAGCTGGCCACTAGCTCTCACCTCAAGCTCAGGCTGAAAGGGCTGATCCACAATTGAGCTCTTCGCCTAGTCTCAAACTGTAACCTTCCCCTCATCATGGCTGGAGAATGAATGCCTCTCTGAGACCTTGCTTCTGTATTATATAATTCCCTAATGTTGGGATTAAAGGTATGAGCTATAATTCTCTTTTACACTCATTCACCCTTGTGTAGATCTGGTGCCATAGGACTCACAGAAACGGGTCTATCTCTTACTCCAGAGTCCTACGATTAAAGGTGTGTACCACCCACCTCCCAGCTTCTGGCTGCTGGGATTAAAGGTGTATGCCTGACTTCTATGGCTTGTGGCTGACTTTACTTTTCTGAATCCTCAGGCAAGCTTTAATAAATCATAAGTAATA